TATACATTAATAAAATAAAATTAATTTAATATAATTATAATTATATTAAAATATATTAAATTATATTTGTATAATACTATTAAGATATAATATATATAAAATATAATAATTACTAAATTATGAATATGAAAATATTTTTAAATAAGTAATACATATATATTTATAATATATTTTTTCAAATTTTGAATCATATATATCATATATATTTAATAGTATTATTAGCATTATTAATATATAATAAATTTATAAGAATCATAAATATTGTATATGTATTATTGAAATTTGAATTTGAATTTTAGCGCGCAGTTTCACCGGTAGGTGTCCGAAGCATCATGGCGGTCGTATCAGTGGGGTGTGAAAGTGTCGTAAAAAGTGGAAAAATTTATGGAAATAGCAACGAAACAGCTCTGGTGAGTTTCTTAAATTAATTTGTTATAGCTAAATAATTACATCTATTGTTATCTTTGATATATATTGCTTAATTAATGAGATTTCTTCGATTTTATATCGAATGCGTCAATGGCGTATCAAATGGCGTAGCGTTGCGCATCAGACGCAATATCAAATTGCGTCGTTTGAAATTTTAGATTACTTTATGCATTAATTATTAACAATTATTATGCTTATTATTAATATTAATACTTATTATTAGTATTATATGCTTAATATCATATTCGGTATTACATTTTAAAGATTGCATGTTAATTTCTTTTAGTAGTCTATTACTAATGCTTTTTACATTACAGTATGATATATTAGTGAACTAATATTTATCATTAATCAATTTTATAAATATAATATTGGTTTTCTATTCTTAGTAGAATATAAATTATTTCTTTTTGCATGTTCTATGTGCGTTTTCTAGTTTGCGAATGTATTTTAATTAGCTCTCANTCTAGTTTGTGAATGTATTTTAATTAGCTCTCGTGTCAAGAAATATGTCTCGCACATATATATATATATTTATATATATATGTATATAATATATAAGATTTTATATATATTAATTCTAATTCTTCATTTCTTCACATTCTCATAATATCTCTATTAGTTTCTTTTTAGCTTATTAATTTTCAACTTATTAGATTAATTTGTTGGGGATTGTAGCATAATTAATTTTCTTTTAACTTACATTATTCAATTTCAATTTTTTTCTGCATTTAATTGAATTGAATTAGTCTTTTGTCTCTTTTTTCTTATTTCATCTTGCTTATTTCTTCTTGGTTCTTTGTTTTACAATTTACAATGATCTTCAAAGAATTTAAATTTACCTGCACAACAGTTGTACATTTAGTGTTGATAACTCTTTCTGTTCCTCCTGGTAATCTATAAATCTGTCTCTTTGCATTTCTGCCTGCACTAATTGCCATAATTTCATCCACGCTTGGCACGTTTTTCCTTCCTCCATATTTAACTGTTTTCCTGAGATTCTGTAAACACACTGTGGCTGTTCCATGATAAGCTCTTCTTTTGTCATAAGCTGCTGTTTCCAGATATTTGGTAAGATAAGGCCTTAGACCATCACTACAAGTGAAATAGGCAGCAACAATACTGAAGATTCTCCAACCACGTTGACAACTATCTGGATTTGGACTTTTATTATTTGTAGTTTGTTTCATTAATTGACAATAAACTTCATCGCGTAGTAGTTCATATTTGTGACAATGCTGAAATAAAATTAAAAAAAGAATAATGTTTTTAGACGTCAAATTGAGATTTCAGTAGTTTATGAATAGAGAAAGTAACAATTTCACTTTCTATAATTATTTAATAGAATTGAGGTTATTTGTAAACAATATTTTTTTAATGTAAAAGATTTTTTGAAAAAGTAAAATAAAAATAAAGAAACATTATAGGAAGAATAAAAATTAATACAAAATTTACCCTTTTTTCCTGAGTGATGATTATATTTTGAATGAAAGATTGTTAGAAATTGAATGAATGAGTTTTTTGAATGAGTTGAATGATTTTTTTGTGAATGAAGAATATGAATATTTTTATAAATGTTATTTATTAAGTGTTCTTTTTTTTTTTTTTTTTTTAAAAATTTAATTTAAAAACAGGAAAAATTTTAAAAAAAAATTAATTTTTTTTTAAAATTTTTTTATTAAAGGTTTTTTTTTTTTTTTTTTTTAATATATATATATAAAATCAGGAGAAATTTTTAATAAGAAAGATAGTAGAAGAAGAAAAAGCATATTAAATTCATGATTAAAGAAATAGGTTATTGGATTATTATTCTGTCATTATTAAATTCAATCTAAATATATTTCTCTCAATAAATTTCACTTCATTTCTAGAAATAATTACATTTATATAATGATATTCTTTTATAGAATATTTAAAATTGTAATTATTTCAATTTATTTTGCATAAACTAAAATAATAGAAATTTTATCAAACGTAATTATTCTATTTTTCAAAAAATTCATTAATTCAAATTGAAAATATAATACTTACCATAAGAATGGTATAAACGCATTTTACTTCACTGGTATCTGGAGGTAATGGTTGATCACCCATGTATCTCATCAGACACAAAAAACATTCTACTGCCAGAGCACTTAAATCTGTATCAAGCTTCAAAAGACTTTGCTCTATTGGCACAGGAGAATATTTCACAAGATCCACCTGTTCTTTCCAAGTCCATTCCGCACCATCCTGTTGGCCTTTATTTTTCTTATTCTTCTTCTTATTTTTCAAGGACTCTATCACTTTAAGAGATCCACTTATTGATCCATCTGCTGTCTTCAGCATTTCAAACCTAAAAACAGAAAAAAAAAAAAAATATTTTATCAAAACTTTCTTTTACTTAAATTCTATTTATAATAATAGAAAATTCCAATTGTAAGGAACTGTTAGAATCAATTTATCAAAGGAACGGTACTCGAGAGTGACATAAATAATAGTCTTCCAAAACGGAAGTCGTCTCGTTGAAGGAGTATGTAGCCATAAAGGGGATTTCCATTGCAGGATGTTGGTACAGACATAGGAAAAAGTCCCGTTGAGTACTGGCTGGGTAGTTGTCACTTGTCAAAGTCATGTTTAAGAAATTCATATTCTAGTTAGGCGTTTTAATGATTCGACTTAGTAAAAGGTTGATCTCTATATTCTGTCAGTTCGTTATTATTTTTGTCGTTTGTGTCTTCTGTCTCCCTTGATGCGTTTCCCTTTGATGCGTTTCGTTACAAATTCGTTTCTTGTGCAAATATTAATCACTAAAAATTTCTCCTAATAGAAATTGTACAATGAATAGTGAAAACTGCTAATTAATTTTAATTAGTCGTACACGGTATATGATACAGTTAGTCGGACACTGCGTAGTAAAAGAGAATTAAGATACAATTTGTAATGTCAATTCTTATTTCTTCATAATTTAACACATTTACAATTGAAATGTAATATTATAACGTCACGTACATGACTTTTAGAAATCTATTCATTAGTACGATCATTTAATTCCATCTAGATCTTTCTTATTTGACATAGTCTCTTGACCAACGACGAGTTGCAAAATTTTCTACGTCGTCCACGAATTAATTCCAAGTTCTCCTCGTGAATTAGGAAGCACCTCGAAACGGTAACTCGCGAAACGCGGAATAATATCCTAAAAGGAGACGAGCTGTACTCGTTTGCCGCGCGTTCACCAAGATGGTCGATGTTACTCTGAGAACTGCAGTGCGTTATGCTTTCTCAACACGGCTCGCTCGCGTTTCTTGCGTAAGAGGAACCAATTAGTCGTTAACGTTAATTTCTCTTTTATTGCGATGCCTTGTTTTGACAAAAAACATTTTTCTTCCGTTTAAGATTCTAATAATAGAATTTTCTTTTTCGTTACCTTTAGATAGATTTTTTTTTACTTACTGATTATCTTCCTAGCCTAAAGAGTACAGCGTGCAACATATCGCAAAAGAAACTATATTATAATTTTAATTTTAAAAATTAATTAAAAATTAAGCAATTCATTGAAATTTTATCTAATTTAGATTATTTTTTTTTTTAATTTTTTTCTTTTTAAATTCAACAAGATATATCATGCCACTGGAATAAATTTAATAATACAATTTTATAGCTATATAGAATTATCTGTTGAATAGAATACTAACTTCTCGGTACTCTGTCTAAAGTTCAGCATGGCGTACTGCAACAAAGAGTGTTTTCCGTCGTTGACGACCGGCCCACTCTCGTAGATGCCATCTTCTTGCAATCTGCCGTTGTCTTCCGGTTGCCGCCATTCCTGATTCGGGCTGAGCCGCTGGTTCTGCTGGTTTTTCTGGTGATTCGTCTGGTTCGTTGCCGACACGTGGTTCGGCACACGACCGGCGGGCACGTGGTTTTCATGGTTCGAGATAACGTGATTAGGCTGACCATGGGATTGTACGTGATTCGATGTGCTGTGATTCGCCTGCGACTGGATCGATTTCGTGATCTGTGATACGTGGTTCTCATGGTGGTTCGGCTTGTGCAGCGGCTTCTGATCGACCTACAATATCGTACGTACCATTTTTTTCATTATTATTTGTTTAATTTTATTTGATTTTTGAGATTTTGCACAATCATTTTGTACAATTCGATTCATTTTTAACAAATTTATTTTTAAAAAATAAAATTCTTATTAATATTATTGTACAAGAGGGCAATGAAAATTGAAATTCAATTATCTGGAATAATATTCGAATGTTGAGAATCTTCTTTGGAATTAATAATTAATTACATTTTATCATTTTTAAATAGAGGAAAAATCTTAAATCGTGAAAGTTAGGAATAGTTCGATTACTAATATTAGTTATAAGTCATTAATAGACTGAGAAAGTTCGTTTTTTTAACCGGATCGTGATATTTAATATAATACACCAAATTGAACTTTCACATGATTCTCGGGTGGGAAAAACATTAATCTAGAACGGAGGAAATTGTTCCACTTGAATCAAGAAAACGACAATTACACAGTCAGTAAATTTTCATAAGTCACTGGTAAAAGGAACAAATATCATTGAGCAAACTAACTACTGCTTTTCACTTCGGTTAATGAGAACTGTTTATATTGAATTGAATAATAATAATTCGTTTGCAAAATAATGTTCAATCTGACTTATAATAAAAAACTTTACATATTTTTTATTTTTATTTCATTTCACACACAGTTTCTAATTATTTTTCAAAAAAGGAAAGGCAAACGAATTATTATTGAATTTATCGCGTATAATATACAAAATTTTATTACTATATTTTATAGAAGTTAGAAAAAAGATCAAATTAGAATTTTGTTAGGAAATTTTCTTTCTAGATAATTATCTAAAGAATATCGAAAGAAAATTATTATTACTATTCGTAATTTAGTTTAATTGACAAAATTATCGAAAAATTTAATATACATTCAATAGAGAAAATTATTATTTAAAATTTTTAATATATCAACTTGGTCAAACATTTCGATTTTTTGTTGTTTCCACGAACAAGCGTCTTCCGTTTCTCTTATCGAGAAATCATGTTTGGGTGCATAAACCATCAGTGTAAAATCCCCTATGTGGGCGTCACGTCGCCCCAGTTTCGCGAGTGATTTACACGACGGTTTTTCGACCTTTCCTATTATTCATTTTCTCTTTCGGATCGCGTTTCCTGCTTTTCACCGGCACACACTCGCGTATATCTCCCGTTCATCGATCGATCTCGCGGATGAGAAAACTGGTTCCCCTGCGCTCTAGGGACTCAGGAATGTGAATAATACATTGGACAATCTTCTTCACTCATTCATCTTATTCGAAACGAGCGATTCGATAAAACTTGTAAATTAATAATCCGCAAACGACCTATGACCGACTTACTCGACATCTTTTTACAAATTACATCCGTGTAACTGATTTCGCGGACGAAATTAGAAAAATTGGAATTTGCGATAAAATTATTCGGCCTGTATAAATAATAATAACGATATTTAAAGATAAGTTGGATTGCTTTTCGTGAAAGAAAATCGATATTTGTAACGTTGTGTTTTCCAAGGTTGGTGGTAGTCGCGAAAGTTTATAGCCACGTATGATTGCCATTATTATTTCCACAGCTGACATATTTTTAGTAAATTGTGATTTCTTTCATCTGGAACTGTAATTTTTCCGCGGCGCCATTGCAGGAATGATATTGCAATAACGTAACTCTCAATTTGCCGTAATTTGCTAGGTAATAAATGGCTATTACTCGAAAATAAAGGAATATGTGCAATTTTTTTTCTACGTATTATATAGTAGTTAGTATCAAATATGAATTTAATGTAGTTAATAAAGATTAGTTAGTTTTCCAAATTTAAAATAAATTAGATTTTTCAAAATATTTAATTCTTAAATAATAAGACAAGTTTTTTTTTTATATTTTCATTTTATATTAAAAAAGAGAGAATTTTTTATTCCATATATTCGTTCAAGTATTTTCATTTCGTAAATTCTCTCAAAGAAAGTAAATAATCAAAAACTTTCTACGTTTTAATTTTTAAAACAAAAGAATTTTATTTTTATAGAATAGAAGTATAAATTGTTTTTCATAAATTTAAAATAAAAGTTAAATTTCTAAAAGATTAGAATTTTAAAAGTAGATATTCAATTAGGGGGAATAATAATCTTTTATTTATTATTTCAAGTTTTACAACTAGGGAATTTTCTTTTTTTTCTATCTTTTTCCATATAATTAGGAAAAAAATTTCAAATAATCATCTTAGATATCCTTTTAAATGAATTCATAACACAACACCCGGTATATCGATAGTTGAAACCCTGCTGACAAAACCTGAATGTATTCTGAGTGAGTGAGATAAGCAGAAGTCGACCCTGACCCACATAATCGTTAATGCATCCAGATACGATTGTAGACGTGAGTTTGCATACTTTAATGATATTAATAAGAATAATCATCCACTCGATTCTCTCCGGCCTGTTTGTGAAATAAATTGCACTAAACATTTATCAGATTCTTATAATTTTTCTAAATTGTCTATCCTGGATCAACATTTTCCATAGTAAAAAATTATAATTTCCTATTAAGAAAATATATCAATTTTTCCACCTCTATTTCTTCATTGGAATAAAATAGAAAAGTAAATTTTACATTTTTTGCTCGTTATTTAGATCAGTGTTTTATTTTTCATAATGGAAACTTCTTCTCAAGATCAATTTCAATTTTTTCACCTCGTTCGAATATAAAAGAAAATTGAGATACAATTTCTAAATTTTCTAAACTTTATCTAGACCAGTACGTTTTTTATTTTTTATCATTTTATAATTTTCATGTTAAATTAACATCAACCTCTTTGCAGAATTTCTCTTTCCAATAAAAATACTTTACTTTTTCCAAATTCCATCAATTCCAATTTTTTTTTTTAATTCGAATAAAAATATTGAACATTCAAAGAAAAACGAGAGATGCAACATTCTCCATATTAAAATTTTAAATTCAAGGTCAATTCCAATTTTTCCGCTTCTTTTCGAATGCATTCGAATAAAAAAACATTGAACATGGAAAGAAAATTAATACGTAATTAAAATTCCTATCATCGAAACGCTGTATCAAGGCAATCAATTCGTCGTTTAACCTTAATCCCTCGTGAAACCATACCTTTCAATGGTGGCACCATTAACTCTATTTAAACATTTTAATGGTTCCGCTTATTACACCCGACTCAATCCTCAATTACGGTAAATTTACCACCTGCGCAACATTTTACTAATATCTTGGCACGGTCTCGGTGTAAACAGTGCTCGATTATGCGAGCACGCCGCGAATGCAACCGGCTGCATTCCTTTTCGGTACTTTATACCGTCCGGTTAACGGTAAAAGCTTTTTCAATCTCCGAAGATTTCTCGCCTTCGGAATATCTGGGTGGTGGACGTATATAGAAATTGATTTTCACGCGCGAGGCTACGATCGGTATGAAGGTAATGTCGATTTTTGCGATTATATGTTTTAATATCCAACTTTACGAGTATATATAAATTTTCCACATAACGTTAAAACTGTAATGTACATTTAAAATGCGGAATCGAAAATGGGTTTATCGTGAAAATAATTTCGAAATAATTTTGTCAAAAAAAAATATCCGCTCCATCCATGATAGAAATCAAAAATCGACTATAATTATATACTTTCAATAACGCGATCAAGGAGAACTCTCTTGGGTCCGTGTTACCGATCTAGGAAAAGAAATCTTTATCGGTTGTAAAACACGCGAGTTGACGACCATGCCTTTGATTTTTCGCGACGAACGTAAATCGTTTTGAAGGAAAACTGCATTCGACGACAATAAAATTGATTGCTTGTTTATTAATCGCTTATCGACTCTTGGAAAAAAAAAAATTGAAAAATTATCGTGTTTTGATCGATCATCAAGGACGAAATTAGTAATTTATTATTGGGCGGACTGAACAACAGGATTTGAATATTCTTTTTTATTTTTTTGCGTCTCTGGATAGCCATCTTTCATCATCAATTTTTCGATTATTATGCCTTCTTAATTAAACAACTCCTCGTAAAAATCATAGATCTTAGATAATATAATGTCTACGGTTCGTTGATAAATATTATGTAATTAAAATAGTCTTCCTATGTTATATAATTTGATATAACTAGTTATTCAAGAAGTAATTGACTCGAAACATGTTAACTCGTAACAAAAGAGTCACGAAACAGGCATTAACACAATAAAATAGAGGTTCGTTAGACGAAATATCCAATTTGCGGCTAATTAATTATTCAATTCTTCGCGTTTTGGGTGAATAAAACTCGCCAATATGTAAAATTTAGGTTTTAATTTCAAATTAGAAAAAAAAACAAAAAATATTCCCCAAACCTTTTCAAACAAATTCCTGCTCATTCACTTTATTCCCATTATTTATTAATTTCATTATTCGTTCGTTATTCTGAATTATGTTCGATCAAATTAAAAATCAAAACGTAAAGATCTCTCGATCGTGTATCGAATCTCACCCACAAAAATTCAACGAGATTTACTTAAAATTACTTATTAATCGAGGACAAGAATTTTATCGGGATCGTGACCTGGTAGCTCTTGACCTTCTCGTCCAGTTTCTTCAAGGTCTCCTGTATAGTTGTGAGGGTCTTGTCGTTCGACTTCTCCTCCACTTGCGCCTCGTTCTGGGTCCTCAGCTCCTCGAATCTCTTCAAGATCTCTCTTACGCTCAGCTTGCTCCCATCCGCGTTCTCTTCCGTGATCGTTTCCATTTTCGAAACTTTCCTCTCCCCGTTCACCCTGCCCACGATTTGATCGCTGTCGTAGAAATCTTGGATCAGCTCGTTCACATCCTCGCCATTTTGACACTGTTTGGCCGAGGATGGCGATCCAGCTCTCGATGTCTTCTCCACGTTCTCGTTCTTGTTGTTGTTGTTATTATTATTATTGTTATTATTATTATTAATAATAATCCTCAAGGGGCCAGACGGACTCGCGTTCCTCGAGTTTCTCAGAAGGCAACCCTCCTCGAG